ACGTGCTATGCACTTTTCTACCCATTACATTTTGTACGATAGTCTGAGGCCCTGTACAGAAATAAAATTACATAATACAAAATTGACTAATACTAAAATGAATAATTGTAGACAGATTTCGACATAAAATCGTGTCACTTTTATGTGCGCTAACATCTGCGAAGAGCGAAAAAACTCGTAAGTAGCCTTCTACCTTAAAATACTTAGACAATAATGCTAGATAAGTACAGTCTTGTCTTTCTGTGTGTACAACATTTTGCCGTAATGGATCAATGGTGTGGATGTGTTTGTCTGTAGGTGAGGAATGGCTCAGGACCCCTTCTCTAAAATGGTAAAATAGTTCAAAGATATTATGTGAAATATCTTACCAACGTAACACAAAGTAAATCAATTGAATTTAAAACCGATAATATGAAAATGTCTGTAAAAGAGCTCAAATACACTTTTTCAATATTATAAAATTCACACATTTCACATCAAATATATAATTGTTGTTTTCGAACTCCCTATTCAAAAGTGCTGGCTACGGGCCTGGGAATCAAGATTTGTTTTCAGTGAACCTTACTACAGAGGGCGCCATCACTCAGAACTGACATGGAGGGTATCAAGATTTGTTTTCAGTGAACCTTACTACAGAGGGCGCCATCACCCAGAACTGACATGGAGGGTATCAAGATTTGTTTTCAGTGAACCTTACTACAGAGGGCGCCATCACCCAGAACTGACATGGAGGGTATCAAGATTTATATTTGGGGAGGGTGTGTTGGAGCATGGAAGGTCCATTAGTACCTTCCATGGTTGGAGGTACATTTCCTTTCAGTGAACCTTACTACAGAGGGCGCCATCACCCGAACTGACATGTAGATATATATTCTTGGAGGGTGTTATAGGTGGTTCAGTGAACCCTAACACAGAGGGTTCCCATCATTTACTTTCAGTGATCCGAGCACACAAAAACCATTTTCACTGTTAATATTTTTATCAATTTCACATGCCATATATTACATTTCATATATACACAATTCATTTATTGATAAATAAGTTGAAATTTGTACACCTAAACCAAATTTATAGAAAAATAGAATTTCATTCATTTTAGGTAAATTTCATTACAATTATACCACAAACAATATGCAAATAAGTAACACATGTGACCACTTTAACAAATCATGTGGACATCTTAACAAATCATGTGACTATTTCAACAAATCATGAGAACACGTTGAAAAAAACATGCAACAGTAAATGAGTTAGTGACAATCAAGCACCAAATCAATCATTTTATAACTTGAAAATTTTACAAATAAAAAATTAGCAAAAATACAGGTTAATTTCATTTTTTTTACATAAAAAAAGAATTTTGTTCCATACAAAAGTAGTGCAAGCTGTTATCTCAATTCCAAACTGACAGTTACTTAATATCTACATCTCTATTTTGAGACTGCGCTTGTCACAAGACATTTTTGTGCTATTCTATGATACAGCAAGAGAAATATAGTAAGCCTACTAAGATACCAGTCAATAGTATCAGTCAAGAAACTAGTTCCCTCATAAAAAATGTGCAAGGCATAGTAATATAAAAATTGAACTCTCAGTAAAAAGACTTCACTTCACATGGTGCTTTTGGGGAGGAAGATCTTAGAAGATAAGTTAGCCTGCCCTCTAGAGGTACATGGAAGAATCAGGCTTGTAAAATTTGTACATCTTTGGTATGGCTGCAAAATATGAACGCTTGATTGGACGGATTGTTTTACAACATATTTCATTAAAAAAATATACTAAAAGTGAAATATACAAAAAAAAGTATAAAAAAAATACAAAGGTGAATATGTTAGTGACACTGACATAAATGGAACAAACAATCCAATGAAAATGAAGGCCTGGTTAGTCACATGATCACAGCCAGCCAATCACATATTTTAACACTTCCCTCTTAACTTAGGGGGGCTTCATTCCTGTATTGAGGTGACAACATAATACATTCTGTGTATTCATGAGTAATACTGTGTTTTGAAAAGAACACATTGTAACTTACAATATCTTATTATTGTAAACGATTAAACAAAACCCACACATTTGGAATAGTTTATTTTTAAATTAATGATGTATGATACAGTTTCACTTTTGCGATGTGTCCATGATGGGGGATATAATCTCCACTAGTTCAAATATAGGTTTGTACAAGGGTGAGAATAATTGGGATTTATTTTATCCTTGTATGTATTAAGTGTAACTCCATGAATTTCTGTGCAAAAAATAAAAAATCTCAACATTTTCAGTGAACATTCAAATACTATAAATGAGTATAATCATTACACTGTTTTCATGTCGCAAACTATTGAAGCGTAAATAAGATTATTATAGAATACTCCCAGTGTACAAAAAATGAGAAAATTCGCAATGTTTTTGTGAATCTGTATTAAACAGGCTAGAAATGCTTAAAACATAATTATTCTATTTCAAATGATATCCAGCCACTTGGTTACTTGCCAATCCACCAACCACAGCTCACTTACATGGTCACATGTGACAAATCCACCAATCACAACATTTGGGTCCCATTAAAATATTCACAAAAATAGAGAAAAAAAAGATATTCCTTAAAAAATAAACCATGCACTTTTTTCTTTTAACATACTTCAATAAATCAGGAGAGCTCCAAAACAGTGTAGAATATTGAAACTAGCATTTTGTAATAAATAATTTGTGTCTCTTGTATTTTTACAAGTATGTACAATCAAACATTCAATTTTATTTGGACACTCCATGATTTTAAAATTTGTAATATTTCAACCTTATGTATTCTTATAAATCAAACTTTTCAGGAACTAAAAATATTTCCTTCAGAATACCACCTGTCCTACCCATGATTATTGGTTGAATCCAATATAATGGAGTCTATTTTGGAAAAGGGCAGTCCACAGTCCGTCAGCACTGCAGACACATGTTTAAAGCCAATTAGTAAATTAATGTAGAATAGTTGTGTATGATTGGATTCAAAGACAATTATGACTTTGCCCTGCATTTTGATCATTCATAACAAAACTTTTAATACATTGTGAGTTTAAGTGAATCTGAAACATCTAATACATCCTGCCCTTCCTTCAACTAATAAATGGTATAACCCTCATATTGTTAAAGCATGGAAGATACCATTTGTATAAAGGTAAGTCAAAGTACTTTCAGTTGGGTCAATTCCAAGTGACTGATAATGTTTCACTGGATGATGACGAGAGGTTTCCAGGAGCACTGGAATAACTTGTCACGGTACTGCTCGGTAAACTTGAGTTGTGATAGCGTTCTCGCCAATGTGCAAAAGTGGACTTCATTAAATTCTTCAAATGCTGATCATGAACCTTGTTACCGAGGCGACGAACTGCTGTATACTGACGCAATCCATTGAATGCCTAGAAGAATGAGAAAATTGATGAGACTGTAATCAACCAATCACAGCAAATATTCTGATCACATGGTAAAGATGAACCAATCACATGACTTACCTCAGACCTGAGATGCTTATTATCTTGTGATGTCATGGCCTTAGCAACGCTAATTTGAATGAAAGCCTTTCTCCATCTACTCCATACAGAGTTGTAGATTTTGTGAGCAGCCTACAACAGTAAACAAAAAATATATTAAGGCATGAGCCTCAATTTCATAAGAGAAATCATAGCAAAGCAGATTTTTACCATCATTATCAATATTTATGATAGTTTAACAGCAAAGAATTGTTTTCCAACCAGTGACATAATTCGCGTAACTTGAATCTATTTCTGGAATAGCTAGAAATTAAACCAATCAGAAACTATCATATTTGCATAATATGGAATTTGACGGAAAGAAAACTATTATCTGTTTCGTTATTATATTTTCCATTCAAAGTTTAATGTTCAATATTTTGTGATATCATAGAATGACAGTTTGTGAATCAGCAACAAGTTCATTGCTTGGTTTGCTGGAAGGTATGGTATGGTATGTGCACCATGTTCCATGCAAACAGGCCTTGTGTTATGCAAATTGCAGCTCATGAATATTAATAGCAACTGAAACTTTGCAAGAAACACAAGTAAGCCAAAATTGAGCATTGCACTATCTTTAACCCACAGCTACAGGTGTATAGTATACAGTGGTACAATAAATGATCCCAGGGATAAATTTAATTTTCCATAACCACAAAAGTAATCTGGTGCAGGTCAAATTCATACATACTATATGTCTAGCAGTGAATTCCTTATCCGCTGTGGATTTCCAAACATTCCAGCAATCTTTTGTCTGTTTTTGATTTCTGCATTTTACAAAGTTCATCATCTTGGCTTCGTTTCTCCAGTGAAAGGTAATTTTCTTACTGTAAAATAAAATTAGTTTGTTATTTTAAAAAACTGTACAATAAATAATATCCCTGTAATAGCAACAGAAATGACAGGATTATATGTCTTTGTAATATCTGAAAGAGTTGTATTTAGTGCTTTGTATTTTCTGTCATATGGATCAAATAACTGTTTACAGTTCTGACTATTAAAATAACAAGTGTTATAGACTACCGGTAAATAAGTCTTTTGTGTAGTAATGCATTATGTTAGCAAATACTGTGCAATACTTTATTTTCGCTTGGAATTAATTTTAGCTATTTTCGCTGAAAGGATGATTCAGTGAAAATAAAATCCAGAAAATATACGGTTTTTCCTATATTTTACATTCAACTTGTCAAAAAAATAAATTCCATACAAAACACCCAAAAATAAATTCCAGCTAAAATAAAGTATTTTACAGTATATGTTTTTTTTTTGCACTTCCATAACATTTTTAGATGACTTGTAAGACGCATCACATAATTACAATTGTTCTTACCATAAGGTTTTATTGTAGTGATCTTCGGCTAATTCCATCATGTCCCTCTCATTCTGTCTTTCTTCTTTCTTGTGACGAACAAAACACTTCCATTTCTTGACTACATGCCTTTGTATCAAATACTGCCGATGTCTGTCTGCTTTCAGTTCCTGGATTTGTTTCCTCCACTGCAACAGACTCTTCAGCAGTTGTCTTTGGTTTCTTTTCTCCAGTGCAAGATGCAGTACTTGTTTCATTCTTACACTATGCTGATAGGTTTCTTTCCAGTGAGTGAGCACACCCTGAAGTAACGAACGTTGTTTTCGAGCTGTAATTACTTTCTCAATTACCGCCATCTGCTTCTCCTTTTTCACCACCCGACTCCACTCGCGAATTGACTTTTGACTCAGTTTTGTCAAATAGTGTTCAGTTGCAGTGATTCTCTTCTCAGATTCAGTTTTCCAGTAAAGCAACACTGAGCGTAATTTGTTTCTTCTACATGCATTCACAAGAATTTCCCCATTCTCTCTTCTCACTTTGTTGCCTAGGGAACAAAATGAGGTAAATCAGTGAAATTGAAAACATAAAAATGATCAGTATGCACAATTATAGTTTTGATCTTAAAATCAAATTTAATTGAAAGTACAACTATTTATTTTAACCGGTATTAAATTAAACAACCCCAAATACTTATTTTAGAATTCGTTTTCACTGTAGCCATATTAATTAAAACACTGATAATAATCAAAAACTTGGTGAAAGGTGTACCACAGTTACTGCAGTGTTAGCTGTGTGACTTTTTAGATGCACTAACACAGCTGTTCACCTGCTGTTACTGATCATTGGTTAGATGGTATTACCTTTAGCCCATTGGCTCCAGAAGGTAACCGTGGCAACCATCTTCTCCTTTAGTTTATTTTCTGCAAAGATTTCTGCCTTTCTCTTGTACTCCATCGCTAGAGTCCACCTTGACCACACCTGGTGAAATAAGCGCATTAGACCGACTAAGTTTCCCATCGACATTCAATTATTACTCAGTAACTTGATAAATGTTGATAATTTATCTTTATTGAAATTACAAAGCCCAATACTAATTATGATTGAGTAAACCACCCTGCGAGGGAAGCGAGAATCAAGACTGAGAAATGCAGTAATCCTGAGATTACAAATCTATTTTGTATACCAAGCTAGAAAAATCTTTAGTCAAATCTAAATGAATGAAAATGAAAACAACATTGCTTGCAACACAGTTGATTTGTCAGCCAATTCGCTGATGATATTACTGGTTAGGTGTACAGAACTAATTGGCAGTCACATTGAGACCACCAGAAGACCCAGCTTATAAAGAAAGGTTAAAATAGCACATGTCAGTGTCACTAACAGGGTGGCTCACCTTTCTTAATGTTGTAGTTCTAATAAATCTGTTCATTTTACTATCTCTACTGTACTGCTTCCATTCGTTCATAACGGACTGTAACAACCTGTTATCCCGTTTGTGTGTATGAACCTCCACTATTTCAGTGCGAGTTTCTGATACAATGTATTCATTTTTCCAGATGTCAAAAGTGCTCGCCATCTGAAAGAAAAAACAAAATTCATTACATGATTTAACAATGAAAAATCTTGTTTTATAATTCCAATTTTGATGCCAAGTTTATTTTGTTTTGTGAAAAGCATTTCAAATTCTATCAATTCAGCTCAAATAAAAAATGGCGGGAAAACAGTACTATTTCACTGTCGAAATGCTATATTTCCTTACTACTGTAAAATATTTTATTTTAGCTGGAATTAATTTTCGCTGAAAAGACTTTTTGGCTGTTTTGTATGGAATTTATTTTCACTGATTTTTGACGAGTTGAATGTAAAATATAGGAAAAAAGATATATTCGCTGGATTTTATTTTCACTGAATCATTACTTCAGCAAAAATAGCGAAAATTAATTCCAAGCGAAAATAAAGTATTTCATATTCTGATGCAACATTTTGTACTTATATTTTTCTTAAAATAAACCGACATGAGGCCAACAAAAATAAATGATTTATTACTAAGTCATGTGTGTCAGTTTAAAAGGAGGCTGTTCACAACCTTTTGGTGGTTTCTTCCTAAATGTAGTAAAAAATGGAGAAAAAACAGGGGGAGCAAATCACTGCACCAGAAAACAAACTTTTTTTAGCCTCATTTTCCATTACTTTATATTTTGCTCAATATTTTTTGAAAAAAATATGGTTTCATTTTTTTAAAGCAAAAAAAATTGACTTTGGCCGTGAAACCAAACAAGCAGCCGGTCGGCTGAGATAGCTCGGCTGTTAGCAATGCACATTTCAATTATTAAAAGAACAGAAGATATCATTACAAATGAACAATATGTATAGTATCGGGACTTGTTGTTTTCAACAAGAAGTCAAAAATATCACTTTTCACCAACAATGACAAAAATAATCATCAAAATTAGATAATTGAAAATATTATCACGAAATTAACAAACCTGAAAGAGGTCCACATGTAGTACCTATATATGTAATATCAAAGCAATTGGAATTGCGGTTTTTAACAAGAAGTCAAAAATATCACTTTTTACCAAAAATGACAAAAATATTCACCAAATTTAGTAAATTAAATATATCATTACAAATTGAACAAATCTGAGAGAAGTCCACATGTAGTACCTATATATGTAATATCTAAGCAATTGGAATTGCGGTTTTTAACAAGAAGTCAAAAATATCACTTTTTACCAAAAATGTCAAAAATATTCACCAAAATTAGAGAATTAAAGATATCATTACAAAATGAACAAATCTGAGAGAGGTCCACATGTAGTACTTATATATATAATATCAAAGCAATTGGACTTGCGGTTTTTAACAAGAAGTCGCAAATATCACTTTTTACCAAAAATGACAAAAATATTCACCAAAATTAGAGAATTGAAGATATCAACATGAAATGAACAAACCTAAGAGAGGTCTACCCAAGGTACATATACACCAAGTATCAAAGCATTCAGGCTAGTAGTTTTCAAGAAAAAGTCGAAAAAGTAAAACATTGAAACGGACGACGACGACGGACAATCACTCATATGATAAACTCCGCTTGACAAAGTCGACAGCGGAGCTAAAAAAGCAGATGTTTCAGAGAAGTTTGTTTACCTGTCTTATCATAGATTTCTCTCTGAAATCTAACATCATCTTTCTCTGTTTGATTCGCTTCTGTATTTCATGGATCCATCCATTGAAGCATCTAGAAAATAAAAAAAGTAAACACAATAGATAATGTTGGTGATAATGTCATAGGAATGTGAGGTCATAAGAATGAGATGTCATGGGGACGTCATGCCATAGGAACGCCATAGAGACGTGATGTCATAGAGACGTAATGTCATGGGGACGTGATGTCGGGAACAAATAAATAAATTTTGGGTGATAGTGCCACATCTCATACAGACATACTAGTAATATCATAGTCAGTATGTCATAGAGATAAGTCATATGGACATGTCATAGTGACCTTAATTCACATGGATGTGATGTCATTGGAACATGTCATAGCAACAGGATGTCATAGAGATGTGATGTCATAGGGGCATGAAGTCATACGAGCTCAAGATCTTAGGTATGCGATATCACAGGAACATTAACAAAGCCACAATGTATAATACATTTGATTTTTAAAACGCTTGTCATTTTTATCTGAACTCATTAACATTGTATTATAATTTACATAATCTCTACTAAATCAACATGATCCAAACAATCATTGATTGCTTTGTACATGTATATCTATTGCAAAAAATGTTAGTGAGATATCTTTGCAGGAAAAATCTGTGAGTGAAACAACTTACTTTCTCTTGACTACTTCGTTATAATAATCTCGGCTCATGATTGATTTCTCTGTATTATCCACCCATTTCCTGAAGACATTAGCAATCTGCATTTCCCTGTATTCTTGGCAGTATCTATCGGCAATGTCACGCATCTTGGCACAATTCCGTGCCTGACTCCTCCAGTGATGGACGATGAGCTTCAGGCGATACTTCAGTCTTTTCTGTTCTTCGATGTGTTCTTTCCACAAATAGAAACACTGCAAGATAAAAGTTTGTGAATATGCTCGTCATTAAACACTGTGGCAAAATGAAAGCCAGCAATGAACTAATTTTTTTTGGAACTAATCTCCAACAAATTTAAAAGTGTCAGTACCCGAGAATTAAACTAATGATGGATTTTGTTACCTTGCATAAAGTACTCCTGGTATAATGCCTTTGACCTTTAGTGATTAATGCACACTCCCTCCACTCGATGAACATACTTTGGACCATTCTAGTCTCTGTGTGCTGTCTGTATTCACATGCTAGTTTATTCTGACGATGAGAAAGCCACCATTGCGTAAATGTCTTCATCAGTGTTTTACGCATTTGTATTTGTTGATACTCCTCACATTTGCGTTTGTTTTCTTTACGTCGTCTAACTTCTATATGCCATGCCATCAGAGTTCTGTAATAAATAAACATGTAAATGCATTTAGTTGTTTCACACTCACAAGTAAACAAAAGTTAAGAGAAGAATCAGTCTATGAAAACAAACTGAATATTAGTTAATAAAAGAGTTAAAAAAAACAGTTTCAAATACAAAAAAGTCATAAAAACAAAAGAACCAGTCCATAAAAACAAAAGAACCAGTCCATGAAAACAAAAGAACCAGTCCATGAAAACAAAAGAACCAGTCAATTAAAAAAAAAAGGCAAATCAAAACAAATATACACAGTTTGCACAATTGCGACTATATTTAAAAAAATAAAATGTTTTTTTCAAATTGACTATTAATTTTGAAGGATATATCCAAATTGTCTGAAAAATACAGTGTAAAATATTTTTTAATTTCCTATTGGTTATTGATAGTAAAATATCAGCTAATTTTGTTGTAATAGTGTTTAGCACTAAAATGCATACATGTGGTGAGACAGTGGGTTTCTAGTTTTGTTTGCACCAACTTTATTTTCATTTTTTCCTCGTTTAATACTTAAACACAAATGTACACTAATGATTGTAACAGAATAATTTTGTAATGTTTTTGTTCAAAGCAATAAATTTAAATTCAAGATAAAACAGTGAAAGTCTACAATGAAGTAACGTATGTGAGGTTGAAAAGATCTGTAATGTCTGCACACATTGTCCACAACTATCTGTAAAATATACAGAATTGTATGGTTATCATCGCCTCTATTTTGCGAAAGAACAGGTTAACGTGACCAACATTATTTGTGAATATTTGCGTTTCGACTTACTTTGAGGCTAGATTGGTTTCATATATGATCTTCATCTGTTGCAGCTTATGAGTTTCTTGTCTCCACACTCTCCAACACTGTTGAAGTCGTCTGACTTCAAAGACGCAAGTCAAGTTCTTAGAGATGTCACTCCACATCCTATTCTGAATTGCCCAACAATGCCATCTCTGTAGAATCTCCTTCAATCGATTCTCAACGATGACATCATGCCGGTAATCTACTTCTGTTTTCTGGGATAATCGCAGTTGCCACACTCTAAAGGCCTGAATCAAAGCATAGAGTGAATCGTTAATTATGTTTGCAATTCCATGATTAGAGGTAGTTGGTTACCATTAAAACTTTATTGAATTTTACAATATGGTTTCAGTTTTTGCTGTTGTTTACAAAACTCAGATAAAAGTATATGGTGATCAAATGCTTTAACAGAATCCTATACAAAATGTTTCAAATATATAATTTTTTGCATATTTTCTACAAAAAAATAATTCATACTGGGAAAAAAATTAATAATCATGTAACACTTGATTGTGATCATTTTTTTACCCAAATTTATTTTGTCCAGTACCTGTGGTAAGTAAATCTTAATTTACCCATTAAAAGTGTTTACTCTTACAAAATGTCAAGATTTTCATGACTTGTAAAAGTCACCAACATTTGACTCTCACCAATTAAAATAACTTATGGTACTTTGACTTCCGTATGCATATACAACATAACAATAGTCAGGTGATCAACTTTGAAACAGACACAATGCAATTAACACTTACCATTGACCTGCAACGCTTTTCTTGAAATGCAAGCATTTTCTTTTGTTGTTCAACCCTCTGTCTAGCAACTTCAAGCCAGCCATAGAATGACCTAGTACATGAATGACATTATGCGGGTTATAACAAATATTAGGAACTGATGATATATCACAATTTATGCATGAATTGAATGCAGTGCCAATATTATGACAGAACGTGTTAGATAGATTCTACATGCTATACACCACTAGTACTACTCTGTAGATACTTGTACAGCAAAATATGTCATGACTTAAGCATAGCACAGGAAACAGCACTGGTGAAGATTACCGGTAGTCTAATAAGTTCTGTAATTTTATTATTATATTTAAAACCTTTCAGTTGTTTTCCAGAACCATCTTCCATTCACATTTAGCAGAAATATGAGCACTATGTGACTGTTCTACAGGGTGTGAGCCAGCCACCAGTCCACCTACCAAACGAACTGGCAACTTTGATTTTGGACTGGCAACTTTTTCCCATTTTTCTGTTTTTTTCTACTGTTCTTTGATAATTTTACCAAAATATTTCCAAAACCATCTACATTGTTTTGTACTGGCAGTTGCAAATTCCTGGCTAATAGCCTGTTGTTCTAATTGGTTTAAATTTGAACCTCTAAGTTGCATACAAGATAACGTTTAAATAAAGTTATTCATCATTATAACGCACATTGTAGTACCCAGACATTCTAGGAAAAGCACTTGGTAATAATTACAACAATTAATAGTAATTTTTCCTTACCTTTTAACAATTGCATTGTTATGATATTCAGTCACTCTGTTCACTTGTTGTCGTCTTAGTTTCCAGACTGAGAAACATTCTTTAAGCGTATTCATAGCGATATACTGCCTCATCTTGCGAGCCCGACCTTCCATTCGTACATTTTCTGATACGTAATCCTGCCAATTGGTGACAATACCCTGAATTTGACGACGCTCGGCAGTCTAGAATGAAACAACAGAAATTGAGGGGAATGTCTTGGCAAACATTTCCATCATCACCTTACGCTTGGACAACAATTTGAAAATAAACTGGATGTCTGGTTTCTGCCCAGTTTTCCAGCCATAACTGTTTTCAGCAGACATATGCAGACATATACCGGGAAAAAAAATTGTGAAAATAGAAACACTTCTTGATCATGTAATGGACGCATAACATACATAAAACAGTCACATTCAGTAAAGATAGTCACATAGTCCAGTGAAAGACAATGTAAATCAATCTGTACGAAACATGGTTATAATACAACTCAGGTTTTAAAATACATCAAAAAAACATTAAAATATAGTATAATACACCAATACATGGTGTAATACATTAAAACAGTGTAATACATTAAAACATAGTGTAATACATTAAAACATAGTGTAATACATCAACCCATAGTGTAATACATCAAAACATAGTGAAATACATCAAAACATAGTGTAATACATCAAAACATAGTGTAATACATCAAAACATAGTGTAATACATTAAAACATAGTGTAATACATTAAAACATAGTGTAAGCCTTTGTGAATTCTGAAAATGTGTAATAGCAGTTTACACTAAGTTAAAACACAGTTATATGTCATCCAGGGTTATACAGCCAAACATGTAGACAACAAGGATAGGAATGATAACGTATGTGGAATAATTATCATAGTATTGCAATACCACATGACACATGCCAGTATTATATGCAGGGAGGAAATCACAACAGTACACACGTGCTGCAAAGCTTCATGCAGCAGTCTAGGTTGGGACACTAATTTTCATATGTTGTATTTCCTGTATTTGAGCTCAACAATCAACACATTGTAGTGATTCAACCTTTGAGCTTTGAGTGGCAAAGTCTACTAATTATATTTTTTTAATAATATAATGTATTACCCGGTATATGTCTATTTGGTCTAAAATTAACAGAAAAGTTAAAATTAAAAGAAAAATACATAAAAATGATGCACCAATATTTTGGTGGAAACAAACTATGGCGCTCGAAGGTTTGAAACAGGAGATACAAACTAATCTGACGACTTGTATGTCAATGTTCTTATTATTGATTGGTGACATTGAGGCACACAATACATTGCATTCTGGGATACACCACAGTAGGACAATTTAAGTGAAGACACACACACACACACAAAGTAAACAGATTGCTTACAGAGACATCATTGGTTTGATGTTGAAAAGTACTGGACTGCAATTGACAGATTAAATGAAAAAATTAGAATTATGTCATAATAAATATTGATGTTTGTCAAAAAGTTGTCATTTTGGGGGTTATGATTAAACAAAAAACCTATATTTTGTTTCATAAAACAAATTTAGCAATTCAATGCAATGTTGAACTCTTCTGTGCATAAGTAATGAGCTGATTTGAATATATTCTGTGCATAAGTAATGAGCTGATTTGAATATATTCTGTGCATAAGTAATGAGCTGATTTGAATATATATATATGCATAAGTAATGAGCTTATTTGAATATATTTATGCATAAGTAATGAGCTTATTTGAATAAATCTATGCATACGAAATGAGCTAATTTGAATATATTCTGTGCATAAGAAATGAGCTGATTCGAATATATCTCTGCATAAGTAATGAGCTTCTTTGAATATATCTATGCATAAGTAATGAGCTTATTTGAATAAATCTATGCATAAGAAATGAGCTAATTTGAGTATATTCTGTGCATAAGAAATGAGCTGATTCGAATACTGTAAAGGGGGTAATTATTCACTGGGTTTTAATTTAGCTTATTTCGCTGACTGGAAAAATGCGCTAAATTAAAACACAGTGAATATGTAATATTTAGCATAGAACACATTATCCAAATAACGAAACCGTGAATTTAAAACCCACTGAATATGCCTGAAATGGTAAATCAGTGAAATTTAAACCCAGTGAAAATTAGTCATTTTACAGTATATCTCAGCATAAGTAATGAGCTTATTTGAATATATCTATGCATAAGTAATGAGCTGATTTGAATATATCTATGCATAAGTAATGAGCTGATTTGAATATATTCTGTGCATAAGAAATGAGCTTATTTTTAATATATTCTGTGCATAAGAAATGAGTTTATTTTAATATATTCTGTGCATAAGAAATGAGTTTATTTGAATAGTGTCAATTTTCACAAAATAAACCAAATTCATTTTTAAACAAGAATGTGACCAATTAGAAATGTCCATTTGGTTGAAGACCAAGGAAAAAATTATATAAATACACAAAATTTTACAACAAAATCATGCCAGAAAAAAATATGGCGTTCATAAAAAGTACAAGAATAATAATCAAAGACAGTTTTACCATATAAGGAAAATACATTTCCATATATGGTCAAAGACAAGTATAAATGTATGCAAATTAAAACCATTATATATAAAAGTACTTACCCGATGTTTCCATACAAGGAATGCCCTCATGAGGTCACCAGAGTTTGAATGTCTGGTTGCTATGGCAGTCTTGTGTTGTTTACGTTTTCGATCAATTTTATAATATAACAAGGCCTTCAGACATTTCTCTTTCATCTTGGTTTCCTGCAATCATAACAATATTTTGTTGATTTTACAAATTTCACAAATTAGAGGGTTTTGTGAAATTTATGTGCTTTTGACAAGGGTGCAAATTATTCTCAATTTTGAAGCAAGTGAATAATTACAAAATAAGAATAATAATGGCAAATTTTATCTATCGGGTGGAAAACTGACACTGACAAAATTAATCAAACTGAAATAAAATTGCAAAAATGTGATAACAATGATACTAATTCCATCATACGTTAAAGAGCAATGGACCTCGCACAGTGTACGTTTGATTTCATTTAAACCAACAATGCTTTTTGCACACACAAGTCTCATATCGAACAAGACATGCTGCAACAACCACTGCCCTTTAAGTTTACGTGCTAATTTACGTGCTAATAAGGCATGACGTCTAAGTATGTCAGTGAACAAGCGTTATGGCGACAAATGATTACCGATAAACAGTAAAAATATTACCCTGCAATCGATATCTTTTCCAAATAAACTTTTGGTCGATATTATCATTACATCAGTATGACCAAACGATTTGTTTTTCTCTACTGCCGAAATCCAAAAAGTTTAGAACAGAATCAGCGAACTTCTTTGGCTGGAGTCTGATCAAACCCTGATGGCAACCATGTTTGTTTTTATTATTAGAGGACGCTTAATCATTCCATATTTGGAATTCACATTTCCTTATATGGTAGGATGAAAATACTCCGTAAAATACCGCAAAATTACGTCACCCTATAACTTATGGCGTTACAGTGACAGATGTATAATGATGAAGCATAACTGATTTTTCAACTTACCCAATGTTCGGCTGCTTTAACTGAAGCAGCATGTTGTCTCTTCCAGACCTGCATACCATGCTTTAAAGTCAACAGCATGCTTGTATACTGCATATGGTACTGCAGTTGACACAGTAATTTCTGTTTTCTAGTGTACGACAGCCATTGCTGAAAAGCGGTGCTTGCTGGGTATAGTTTCCAATGTAGAATTATACGCTTTAGAGTCAGCTGGAAATATAAAAGAAAACGTGAAATAAGCTAATTTTACTAATTTGTCTTCAGATTTTTAACAAGTTTTTCTGCCAAAGCTGTTGTCTCAAAATTGCTATCACTGTAACGGCATTAATTACTCACTGGGTTTTAATCTCACTATTTTCAGTGATAAGTAAAATCTGCTGAAAAAAAGCCATGTGAAAATGTAAAATAACATTAGAACTCACTGTTTCTCACAGTTTCAGCCAAATTCGTGAACTTAAAACCAAGTGAAAAGGCTCAAACATTAAAACAGTGAAATTAAATGACAGTGAAAATGAAAGGGTTGTACAGTATCATAAACATAATTATTTACCTGTCTGTTTTGTGGTATCTCTACATGCAGTGAGTCCGAGTACAGACTAGATGGATAGGAGTTGGATTTAAAGCTAAGTGGTTTCGGGAACATTCCCTGTCCATCCCATCGATCCGCCTCATCATGGATGGGATAACCTGGATATCCATCAAAATGATTACCGTTGTTACTACTACCGGTGGATGCAATTGGAATGTTGCTATGGAAACCACTACTATTCTGTGACACTGTTTCCGAGAGTTGGCTTGCAAGCGACAGGGTAGAGTCGTCGCTCAGAGTAGGCGAGCTGGGTCCACCCAGCGATAGCTTGAATTTCTCCACAGAATCTTGGCAAGTTTGTTTGGCATGGCCGTTCCATGACTGAACAACTTGGCGCATCAATCGCAACTGTAGATCATCATGGTATTCTCTGAAATATAAACCCATAAACATACATGAGCACTGTTTTCTATTAAATTTAGAAGCAATATCAGAAGATAATATTACCTGAATGTATTTTTTTTGTTATGCAGAACAATTGATTTGGTGTCAAGAAACAAAACTTTGACCTGCTCTGTCCTATAAAAAACTTAAAACTTAAAAAATATTTTTATATGTTGATTTTAGCTTCCAATGACAACAATCATTCGAAAATTATTTATTACAAACAAACAATCTACCATCAAATCAACAAGACATGATGAGATATTATATTTACTAAAGTAAACAAATTTGGAAATCATAAGCGTAAACTCTTCAATACATTCTGACCACATGGTTTATTGATGAACTTACCTAGCTAACTGGTTTCCCAGAAGTTGCTTCTTCCAGTTAAAAAATGCATTTTTCATTGTATTCCCAGACTGGTAATCACTAAATGATTTCAACACATCATCGGTTTTATCTTTATGATCATACAAAGTATCTCTCCATTTCCCAAGAAACACACTCTTCAAAATATGGCCTTCAGCCTGTGAAGAACAAGAAAAAAGAAAAAAAAACATGAATTTTAAAAGGACTAGTAATTAAAGGAATTATATGAGCACATAATGAGATTCCATGTAAATAAACAAGTGCATAAATAATGAAGACATTCTCCATCAAATGCAATAAAATATGCACATAAATAATGAAGACATTCTTTATCAACTGTAATTAAATATGCACATAAATAATGAAGACATTCTCCATCAAATGTAATAAAATATGTGCATAAATAATGAAGACATTCTTTATCAACTGTAATTAAATATGCACATAAATAATGAAGACATTCTCCATCAAATGTAATAAAATATGTGCATAAATAATGAAGACATTCTTTATCAAATAATTAAATATGTGCAAAAAATAATTTTAAGAAGTGGCTCATCCATGCAAGATTGGGATTTGGCATTCCAGAGACAAACAAATACATCACCTTTTGTGCTTCATCATCGTCCCTTTTTTCCACAAGGTCTTCCCATGATTCTTTCCATTTATCAAAGGTGTGTTGCAGTTTACTGTGATGGATTTGCTCTGTAAGCATTTGACATTGTACGGTTCTCTGAGCGACACCACGCCAACCCTTCATACAACGGCGTAATTTATTATCCAGTATCTCTTGGGCAACTTCTTTTTCCCGCTGTAGCAACTCGGCTTTCTCCCTGCAAACACAAGATATTAATGAAAACAAATTTAAAAGGAAGCAGCAATGCATTATGGGATACATTCACATCAGATTAGTTCTCTTTCATCATTTGTTTTTGTTGTAGCAAGGAGATGAATATAGAACAGATATGGTACATAATGCAGTCTTACTTTCTTTCTACCTCCAGTTATATCCACAACTGAGGGTGTTACTGCACATATATGCAATGCATTATGGGATACATTCACATCAGATTAGTTCTCTTTCATCATTTGTTTTTGTTGTAGCAAGGAGATGAATATAGAACAGATACGGTACATAATGCAGTCTTACTTTCTTCTTTCTACCTCCAGTTATATCCACAACTGAGGGTGTTACTGCACATATATGCAATGCATTATGGGATACATTCACATCAGATTAGTTCTCTTTCATCATTTGTTTTTGTTGTAGCAAGGAGATGAATATAGAACAGATACGGTACATAATGCAGTCTTACTTTCTTTCTACCTCCAGTTATATCCACAACTGAGGGTGTTACTGTACATATATGCAATGAATTATGGGATACATTCACATCAGATTAGTTCTATTTCATCATTTGTTTTTGTTGTAGCCAGGAGATGAATATAGAACAGATACGGTACATTATACAGTCTTACTTTCTTTCTACCTCCAGTTATATCCACAACTGAGGGTGTTACTGTACATATATGCAATGCATTATGGAAATAACTTCCCATTGTACCCATAGATAAAGGAAAACAATTTTTTTTAAATGGTAATATAATATAATATAATATAATATAATATAATATAATATAATATAATATAATATAATATAATATAATATAATATAATATAATATAATATAATATAATATAATATAATATAATATAATATAATATAATATAATATATGTCCCCCAAGCAAAATTTTGAGATATGAAGAAAAAAAACGTTAGTCCAAGTATTTTAAGAACTGGATACTTACTTCCAAGCACTGAATGCTCCACTTAGTTTGTTTTGTTGACTGTACTCATAGTGGTTTACACACTGTCTTCTTCGCAATACAATACTCCTCCATGCATCAAATACACTAGATAAAAAAAAAAAACAATTTAGTTAACACTCTCCAACAATTACTATAACTTTCTTAGAGAATCATTGACAATGTTTTGAATGAAGGAGTCACATGATCAGCACTTAACTTTTGATTGGTCAAAGAAGTCACATGATCAGCACTTAACTTTTGATTGGTCAAAGAAGTCACATGATCAGCACTTAACTTTTGATTGGTCAAAGAAGTCACATGATCAGCACATAGTCGGCAATAGTTATTGAGCCCTTGCCAACACATTCACTCAAATATTTGAAAAAGATATTATCCTCTGTCAGGTTTTGATAAAAATCATAACATTTTATTTTTGCCTAAGACTTCCAGAATGTTCAGGAAAAAATCTTTCAAGTGGTTGTTATTCTTTAAAAAGTGAATAAACAACTGACACACAAACACCACTTCGTAATATAGTGTCATTGAATGAAAACAGTAGCCATGGTTTAAATCTTATAGGTGTGTTGTTACCATGACAATCACCGAGTATACATGTCAGATTGCCAGGTTAGAGAGAGAGAGAGACATGACAACGTTTACACAAGTCAATCATGACCAAATTCAGTCCTAGTCCTGAGATATTAAATGGTTTACAATAGTTTGTGAAGCACATGTAAAATTCATTTGCAGGTCACGACAGATTGTAGATCAAAATGCTGACAGACAACACATAGAAACCACAGAAACTGTCGTTACTAGGAAATGCATTAACCTTTGAGATGTCATCATAAATCGGTACTTACTGTGCCATTTCTTTTCTTTCCCTCCTGACAACCAGTGGTTGAATTGTCTTGGTTTGTTTTGTTAATAATCTCCACTGTGTCAATACTCTATAAGCATTGTTATGTTCCAAAATCAACTGTACTGATTTGGCTCTCTGCGTGTCCCAGTCAGATTGCTGTTTAGCAGCCAGCCATGTCCGGAAAGCAGCTAAAATTAGAGTCGTAAAGTATCATACATAATTATATACTAATACATAATACTATTATTAAAGAGAGCGGTGGTCGTCACACCATGCAAGTGAAACATTTGTGTTGATAAACATTGATTTTGCCACAATCCAATGTGCTCTTCTCATGGGAATCACAAGTATGAGGTTTGACCTGGTCGTAACATGCACTAATTACCGCCGGGGACTTCTTTGATACTTTCCAATCACGTTAAAAAATACCTAATTAAAGCTCGGTAACGTCTCAGTTTGTACTCGTTGATTTGCACAACAGTCGCCATCTTTGTTTATACGAGACCCATATATCTCGCACATACGTGGCTAGACGACTACCACCCTTTCATTAATATAAATATTATTTTTAAATTATTTAGTTACCATATTTATTACACAGAATTGATAATTCCAATATTTCATCATTTCTGTGGTTGTTGGAGAAAAACTTTTCTCATAAAAATTCAGATTTGAGCACCAAACTTACATTGCAGTAAATTGCTATCTCTGTGTGGTTGGGTCATCCTCAGCTTTGCTTCTAATCGTCTTCGTCTGACCATCTCTGTCCAAGCCTTGTATGCTGTCATTGTACATCGATCTGACCACACTTGTCTAGATTGTATCTGTTGTAACCGAATGTTATACCGCCCCATCCAATAATGGCAGCACTTCTTTAACAGTCTTTTGTTTCTCATTTCTTTAAATGACGTCATTTTCTTCCTAAAATTATAAATGTAAAAACTTGTAATCAGGAAATCTTTTAAACAAAAATGATGGGAATGTGCATAACATTATGAATAATTATTGAACCTTTAGATGGTCTGAGGAACGTTTGATCAGTGCCTAACTGGAGATCTCAGGAAAGTATTATCAGTGTCTAGCTAGGGGGTTTCAGGAATGTATGACCAGTGCCTAAGTAGGGAGTCTAAGAAAGGTATGACCAGCACCCAACTATGGGGTCTCGGGGGAAATTCAACTACTGCTTGCCTAGGGAGTTTCAAAAAAGTATAATCAATAGATAACGAGAGGGTCTTGAGAGAAGCTTACTGACACATAACTAGAGGTTTCAGTACAGTATAGCCAATGCATAATTAGAGAGGGTACAGGGTCCAGGGATCTCAAGATTAGAAAACTTTATATTTTCATAAGAATTTAATATGCAGTAATAAATATATACATGAATACAGAGCAAATACAGGAAAACAAGGACACAATGCCGCCAAACATTGCTATAGCACCCTCATGCAGCCATTTGAAGAAATCTCACCTGAGTTGTTTTTTGAAAAGTGTAAACTGTCTCCAGTCACAAAGTGCCTGTCTGACATGTATACGGTGTAATACTGATATGAATCTCTCTCGGATTTCTTTCTGTTTTCTCACATTCACCATCCAGGCATACAAGACACGTCTCTTCAACGTCTTTCTTGCCATAGATTCCTCTATTTGTCGTTGGATAGCCTGACGTTGTTGTTTCAAGTACCATACCTCAAAACATTGCCTGAAATATACAGGAGTTGAATTTTAACTTCAAAAAAATGGATATTAGTGTTCCCAACACAGTGATTGCTAAAATCATACACAAAATTTGTTTTTAAAGAAATGATATACATTTCGTATGGTAGTCGTGCACACACAAGAGTTACACAATCAGAACTTTTTGTAGAAGTGAAAATTTCTTTGGGGTGCTATGTTTGGAAGTGTTAGCAATTTTTTGCAAAATTTTGTCTTTAAAAATGCCATAAAATGAGTAATCGTGAAAATTCCAAGTAGTGTAAATTAAACAGTATACATATTAGGGTCCAATACAGAATTGTTGTGATGATAAATATGTGGTGTGAAACATACTGTAAAAGGGTCAATTATTTACTGGCTTTTAATTTTGCTTATTTCGCTGACTGGAAAATGCGCTAAATTAAATATGAATATGTACAATTTAGCATAGAACACATTATCTAAATGATAAAACCGTGAATTTAAAACCCACTGAATATGCCTGAAATAGTAAATTAGAAAAATTTAAACCCAGTGAATATTAGTCATTTTACAGTAGTTCATTTCTATGATATATGTTTCAATGAACTGTGTGCATGAGTGAGATGGGTGAAAACAAGCAAATATGTACATACAGATACTGCCCAACAAACTGCTTAAACTGTTTTTAAATTTAGAAAACAATTACAAAATTTGGAAGCACAGAACTTTTTATAAAAACTTTCATAAGATTTTGTTCTCACAAACATTTATAAATCAATGAAATAAAAAAAAAATTCCTAATAACAAGAATTACAGTTACAGTTACCAGTAATTTGTTTGTGAACTTGGATTGAATGTGCTTCAGACATTTGAGTTGTTCATTCAGAAATACAGTTCTACATATGATGGTGTCATATATGAGCATATCCACAAATTGGTCAGTAAACGACAAATTAGTCCTACGGTATACACAGATATTGTAAATAAAAAAACAATTTTAATTTCCTCTGCAAAAGTCCTGGACAATTATATCAAAACAACACAAAGTTCAACTTACTTGAGTCTATTCCTGTTCATCATTTTTTGCATTATTTGTTGTTTAAGCTTCAACGACCACTGTGCAAAATACACCTTCAATAGCGCCTTCTTGTGGAATTCTTTAGCTTCACTCATATCTTGCAACCGTTCTGCTCGTACAATCGGCAGACTTCGTCTCCATCCAGTCAGTATCTTAGAGAGCACAGTCATGCTTCAAGAGAATAAAGAGTAACTAATTATAAAACTAAATGGCAGACTTTGTCTCAGTCAAGTCAGTATCTTGGGAGAGTGCGAGAATGATGTTAATAATAGAATAATTTGTGAAGTTTTATTGCAGTAAACTGCGTGGAAAAAAAAGAAATTGTGAGTCTGGGAAATGTTTTTTTTTTAGCTGTGAACATTTTATCTTCTATAGAAAAAAAGTTTTCCTGTAAAAACAGGAGCTATGGAATAGGTGAATTTGATAATGGTTCTTTGATATGTGCCAAAGGTGTGAAATCATTGTCTCCATGTCAAGTACATGGCATTCATGTCAGGTCCTTTTGTTGCTACGGGATCACACCTCAAAGTCAGAACTTTTTTTCTCTTGTATTCAGTGAATTTTCAAAAGCGAGAATTAATCAATCTGTCGACATTGTGAAATCATTTAACATAAAGGGCGCAAGTTTGGAAGCATTTATCAATTGCTAAATACAAAGTGGTATGAAAATTATTGAGAGCTACTCGAGGAGTTTTTTTTCCCCTAAGTTTTAGATCCATAAAATTTAGAAATATATTGAAGACAGATGAAGTTTAAATTTTTCGAAATACATTGAGGAAGTTTTGAAAAGGAACTACTTGAAATCAAAATAAAAATCTACTTAATTTTCACCATGAAACTCATACACATATTTGACTTTGAAAGGTACAATTGCAAGAAAATCAAAATGTCACAGTCAAATGCTGACAGCGAAAGATCAATAATTAAAAGAAAATAATATAATTAATGAATAAATATAATTACACTAACAAATACATTTAAAAATAGTACCAGCTGGGTTTCAAAACTAGGAAATTAAGCCAGATAGAAACAGATGACAAGAAGTTCTTTGTACCAAAAACAGATCTATTATCTGTGTTTTCAAGGCCACAATTTGTTTTTGTTTTTTTGGTACAACATTTTATACATTTTCTATAATTTCTTACTTTTACTGCTGGTTATGTAAAATATTTTAAGGATTTTTTTTTAAAAAGTTACAAATGTATGCGAGTTTAAGTAGAAAAAGTTGACAAAAGTAGACAATGATGATGAAACAGTGAACTATAGGAAACTAACCTATGATGATGAAACAGGGAACTATAGGAAACTAACCTATGATGATGAAACAGTGAACTATAGGAAACTAACCTATGATGATGAAACAGTGAACTATAGGAAACTAACCTATGATGATGAAACAGTGAACTATAGGAAACTAACCTATGATGATGAAACAGTGAACTATAGGAAACTAACCTATGATGATGAAACAGTGAACTATAGGAAACTAACCTATGATGATGAAACAGTGAACTATAGGAAACTAACCTATGATGATGAAACAGTGAACTATAGGAAACTAACCTATGATGATGAAACAGTGAACTATAGGAAACTAACCTATGATGATTCTTGGCAATCTGGAATTTATCATACTCAGCTTGCCAATTCTTGAAATATTTCACAAAAGTTTTCTCCTCAAAGTAAACTTTCCCCATTTCATTCTGTGTCGTTTTAACTCGTCTTTCTGACGTGTAAAGTCTCCAGCTTTGAAAACCTTTACTGAATAGAGTTACTCTGAAAAGAAGGAATTAGTAGAAAAATATAAGTATTGTGTATTCGCTAGCACTGATTTTCCAGGGTTTTTGTGAATATTTGTCATTATTGCATTCTGAAACATTTGCTGGGTACATATATCCTCGGGGGCGGAACTACGTCACAGACGTTCCACGTTGCTAAGACGAGCACCACTGTACATGCATTTCTATGGGCTCTGTGCGCGCTGCTGTGGAACGCCGGTCGAGCTGGTGAAAATTCGAGAAAACAACACAAACTCAACTTTGAAGTAATCCCGAACAGCCAAATTTATATATGTTACACACGTAGGGCTAATCTTGTTACACTGTTCAGAGGAGTCTCAACAATCATCCCAAAGTACCGTTTTCTGCAAGTTTTGGGCCTTTGTTTTCACCGCCGCAGGTTGCCAGGCATTGAAAATGCCCGGATGTCCGCCCCCGAGGATAGCTAAGTATTTTGCATGACAGGGTAAATACTATGTTAAAGTAAACAAATACTTTGTGCGTATCTCAGACAAATGCACATGTACAACACCATATCACCGAGTAGATAATATTTGGTGATTTATGTTCTAAGTACCGGTAACTATTAAAAATAGCTTGATGTTTCAAGCAATGACTCTTAATTGATAGCATAGAAAAAAATGGTCCTCTATTGATAGCACAGAATTTTCTATTATGCTATTGATAAAGAGACATTGTTCCAAACATTTAGCTATTTTAATAGTTACTTAGAACAATGATTACCAAATATTATCTACTATATATCATATTTATCGGTCCAAGCAGCAGCATTCATTCATTCATTCATTCATTCATTCATTTATTACTTTTACCAAATCACCAAGCCTGATGACTCGTCACATCTTCTATAATGGCCATTGGACATTCCTCAAAAGGGATACTTAATAACCATAATTTATTCGTGGCGATAACTTACTTGTAATGAAGTCCCGCTAGCCCCTCTTTCTGTACATCACTGTGTTTATCTTTCCACGCTCGGAACGCACCAGACACTTTCATTTTATCATGTTTACAAGACAGTTGTTTAAACTTGTCGGTATCCAGTTTAAATTGTTGCCACGTCAGGAAAGCATGCCGTAATGTTTCGTGCCTGTGTTCATGATATGTGGATTTCCACTGCAATGATAAACAGGAGAAAAGATTAGAATTCAGTGATTTCAACCACATGGAAACAAGTTAAAAGTTTCCATAAATGTTTTTTTTTTTTTTTCCCACAACATAGTAGTGAGATGATTAAAGTTTGATTGGAATAACAAATTTTAAAACAATAACCCCATTTCTTCTATTGAAATACTGTAAAATACTTTATTTTAGCTAGAAATAATTTGTGGGTGTTTTGTGTGTTATTTTCACTGATTTTTGATAAGTTGAATGTAAAATATAGGAAAAAAGGTATATTTGCTGGATTTTATTTTCAGTGAATTATTCCTTCAGCGAAAATAAAGTATTCTACAGTATGCGAAAACATTTTAACAAATCACAGTGCAAGTGATTTGTGTGGCAGTGAGTGTTGTTTGTGTGGCAGTGAGTTTGGTTTGTGTGGCAGTGAGTGTGAAGTGTGATTGCTGTGATCATGCAGTGAATTTAAAATCCTATCTTTTATGTTGTAATATGTGTCTAATTTGTTTGCATGTACAATTTATTACAAACTTATAGCACAACCTTTGTTTATGTATTGTAACATTATTTGGTCGCCTCGTTTTTAAATGGAAAGTTGAAAAAGGTTCAAAAAGTTACATGTTAAACATGCAATCACTGGTGTTTAGACGAGGGATGGTGACATGATACAAATATATAAGATCCAGATCCTATCTATATTTTTATCCCCTTTCTGTTATCCTGCTACAAAAAGTTATAGCCAAAAACTCACTAAAGGCCCTTGCAAACTAAAACTGCAAAAGAACTTTTTCAACCAGAGCATCACCAACGTTTGGAATTCACTGCCAGACAACACAATGACTTCCGGAACAATTAACACTTTTAAATTTCACTGACAAAAATAACATTTGAATTTTAAATATATAATAGGAGCATTTAGTTTCATTTTTAAAACAGTACCGAAATACAACTGGCGTTTTAGACCACTTTTTCATTACATGTATTATACTATACTACTATAATACTAAACCTACAGTTGTAAGTATTGTATCATTGAGAAAAAAAACATGTGCTTTTTTTTTTACCAAAGTCACACATCTGCCATGTTCTTCACATGTTCTTCTAATAGAGCAAAAACCTATGCACAAACAAAAACCAATACTCACAGTGTCAAAATGTCTAACTAGCAAATTACTCTGACACTGAGCTGCCAGCTTTTCTTCTAATTGCTTCTTTTGACAGATGGCATATTTCAAACCTTGGAGTCCTTTCGTCAACATGTGCCGTCTATGAAGGTGCTCGGCATCATTTCTTTTATCCGGTGATGAACCATTTTTCCACACTGATAGACATTTTCGCAATAGATGCCTTCGCCAGAATACAGCAGCACTGAAAAAAAGAGTGATGAAACAGGTTCTATATCTTTCATGCTTACAATTTTAAAAGAAATTTAATGAATATCTTAAAAATATAAATAGAACATGTCCAATAATCAAAATTGGTAGAGATCCCAAATTGGATAATATAAGATGGAGTCAGCGACGACGACCACACAACAAGGACAGACATTTTCCCTAATATACCTTGCCTTTCATCTATGATGATACAGACAGGTAAA